AAGTTGATCACTTTGAACTGATGAAAGGTGAGGCATCTGTCGTGGTGAATCACTGCTACCGGAGCTAATGGGAAGAGGGGAATCAACTGTTGTGGTTGCAGCAGGATCAGAAATTGATCCAGTAGGATAAGGTGAAACAGAAGTGGTAGGAGATGAATTATGATGAGTTGGAAATACTAAAAGTTGTGGACGGTGATTGGTGGATGAGCGATTTCTTGAGCCCTCCCTTCGACCCGCATGGTGAGCTCTTCCCATTGAAGCAGCAACAGCCAAATGCTGAAGAATGCGCTCTTCAAGTTCAGGATCATCAATATCCACAGGTAACTGGAGCGCCATGAATGAAGAATAAATAGAGGTAAACACAACATGCTAGCTTGTGAAACTTCAGAAATCAGATGAAAAAAGAAAAATGCTTATCCTTTAAGGCAGCCACACACATGCTGTAGTTCAAAATCTCCCAGCGCAGGAAAGTGAAATAGTGTAGCTTTTCTTTCTGCATTAACTCTAAAATTCCTTTCTTGTTCCACAGCCTCAAACAATTCTTGACTGAAAGAGGGAAGTCAACTAATGTCAAGTAAGGGCTATACCAGTGAATCATAATCATAAAAATTATGAACTGAAATAAATGAAGCCACAGAAACCTCATCTGATCTTTCAGACTTATGGACTGCCAACACATAGGACAATTAGAACTTCTCTGACACCTGTTTTAAAAAAAATTAAACTAATTAGACTGTTTACTTCAATGTTCATCATGACTAGTATAGTCCCTAAATCATGTTCTTCTCATGTTCCAGAATAAACATCCAGTCTATAAGCCAAACCCATTAAACAACCCCACCCAAAATAAAGGATTATTTACCTCTTCAACCTAGAATACCAAAAAATATTTATAACTTTAATTGTAAAGCAGACTGTATCTGTGCGCGGGGGGGTTGTATTCCATCTCTACAGCATCAATAAAGACAATAGCCTCTTAACTGTATCTCTACAGGATATCTAAAAGAAAAATCACTGGTTCATAAAATGGAGGGGAGGGAAATAACTTTTGAGACACATAATTTCACGAAAGGTATACGATGCATTTTGTAAACACAACTACCAATTTCATTTATTGGCAATGATTTTTAGGTCTGTCATTATATTTGATAAACCGAAGAGGTAATTAATTAATTCCTACCAATATGGTAACAAGTAATACAAAAGTTCAACATTGACTTCCAATAAGTCTATCCAAATGGCTGTTCAAGTAGGACCGCTTAATACAGAATAATACTGAACTCTATATGCCTCATGCTTGCTTCTCCACTCCGTCAAACCTTTTGTTCCTTACTACAATACATCCAAAAAACACCCACAGGAGCTATCAGCATGCCTTCCATCGCTCTTTACCCTGTCCAATCTCAATGTCGCTAGCATTTCCTTATGTGTTTGTTAAAACCCAAGCGATGTGGAACTAAGAATACATAAAGCTCTGCAAACTCACAGTATTGAAGTAAATGATTTAATCCTCTCTATGTTTTTTGCACGTGCAACACCAACTACGCATCCCAGTTTCCTTACCTGGTGAAACTGGATCGCGTGCAGCACATGTGAAGGAAGTAATTTGTGGGAGCCTTGGTATTCAACATATAGCCGACTCTAACTATCTTGAGATCAAGAGATAGTAGTAGTAGTTTTTTTCATGTTCTTTCTCATAATGGCAGTATCACGGCCAACTTGCGTGCACTTCAACTATTTTGTTTTCTGAAAGCAAGCAATATCCTAAACAAAACTGGTGCAAAAACTATGTGATAAAGAATATACAGCATTGAGTAACTACTACTAAAAGATGGTTGGAAAAGGAAAAAAAAAAAAGAGCCAGTGCCATATGCCAACAACAATAACAACCACCCTTTTGACCCAAAAAAGAAATAATAACAACCACCAATAGACTCACTGGTGTCAAGTTCCACCAATCATCTTTCAAAGACAACTTGATACAACCCAAGGATAACCACCCCCCAAAAGCTAGTTATCGAGGTGGGAGAACCCAAGGCTATATAAGCCACACATCAGCTCCCCATTAAATTGATATACAACCCAAGGATAACCACACCCCAAAAGCAGCTACTGCGGTGGGAGAGCCCAAGGCTATATAAGCCCCATGTCAACTCCCAATCAAACAGATGTGGGACTCAAGTCCATAGCAATAGAATCATAACACCACTTCAATTCTATTATCAGATTTCTCTTCTTCTCTAGTACCTTGCAATAGGATCATAGGTGTGTGTGTACATAATACACTTCTCCCTCATTAGGTAACATTGATTTTCAAAGTTGTGACATATAATTTGCTCAAATACGATCTACTTTCCCTGGCTCATCTTGCGACTAATTAAAGGAACAACTTTCTCACCTGTCTATTTGCTATTCAATCTCATATTTTGTTACAAACATCATCCCCGCCCCCCATAAAAGGAAAAAGAGCAAAATACACAATAGCAATCTAATTCAATTGTTGCCCTCTCTGGGTCAGTTGATCTTAAATACCTCACTAATATTTTACTTGCCTAACAAAAATCGGAATAGCAAATTGATATCCTCGAAATCAACGAAGATAGTAAAGACAGAATTTTTACAGATACATACCATTCCAGGACGCACTGGAGATGAAACTCATGCTTGCAGCTAGTTACCTACAGAAGAAAAAAACAGATATATTACACACTATCAAAGTCACTATGATAACAGAGTAACATAACATTACTAATATCAAACATTTAACTACAGGCAGTCTTTAGCATTCACCGAAGGAGGATCGCTTTCGCAGAAAGCCTCGAGACAAATGCTGCAAGCATCATCACATGCATCCTGAATTCCTCCTTCCACAAAAGCTGCAGGTGATGTCATATGACCCTCTGATTTCTTGACCTCATCCATTCCCAAAAACCTTTCAAACCTAACAAATCCCCAATAAGAAGTCCAATTTCAGATCTCACAACACAAACTAGCCTCCTCTAAAAGCTAAAAATTTGGAGAAACAAATCCCAAACTAGAAAAAAGAAAAACTATTTTCTTATTTCAACTAAAATATAATCAAAGAAATGCAAATTTCTTAGCTCTTATTCCCAACAAGATCACCCATATTGATACTTTCAACAAACATGGGCAATTTCTTAATCCAACAATATCACCATATACATATTTTAATTCTACAAATACACACACAAACAAAAAAATTGGGAATCTTTAGTTTCCCCAGACAAACATAAATCCCAATAAAAATTCAAACTTTAAACACAAACAATCTAAAATCTCGCCTATTAACATTCAGTACTACAAAAACACCCTGAAAACACCAAAATTTGCAATTCCAACAGAAAAAAAAACTCTAATTTCGAACAAAATACATAGAATTTCAAGTCGCATTTCGCATTATTAGGAATTTTTTTTTACCTGATATGGATTTAGAAAAAGGCTCCGGAAATTGGGTGAAGAAGAAAACTAATTGTTGAACCGGTAAGGTCCCTTTCAGGAACCTAGAAATTAGAGAAGACAAAGAAAGAGGGGAATATATCTATAAAATAGTGAAATGGAGGTCACGTTTAGCTTTTACTACCTTTAATTTGCTTTTCCATACCACCATTAAAAAAAAAAACTATTGTAAAAAAAAAGAAAAAAAGTATATATATATATATATATAATTTTGGTGTCCGAAATAATTTTGTGTGCGTTTTGATTATTTCTAGAGATATCAGATAATTTTATTCATTAATATAAGTATTGAACTTTCTGGCATAGATATCAGGTAACATTATTCAGACTTTGATAGATGAAAATATTATGCAAAAGGAAAACTAAGAACACAACAATATAATTTAAATAGATTTATTTTTTATAAAAATAAAAAAATTAAGATAAAATTTTAGAAAGGAAATTGTTTAGTTTTTCTTCTCACCAATTGAAACATGTATTATTAATTGATTACGTAAAATTTTAATTCTGGTATTCTTATAATAATTAGTTAGATAATAGTGTTCTTTTGGGAACGTTTGATAAAATTGAAATGATATAAAAAAGATTAATATGTTCATGGATAAGAATGACACACATAATTTTAGAGGTTATTTCATTTTTATTTATAAAAAAATAGTTAGTTAGGTGTTGAGATCGTATTAGACCATCTCCAACCCATCTCTATTTTACTCTCCATTCTCTATATTTGGAGAGTAAAATAGAGAATGGGTTCTCCAACCACTCGCTATTTCACTCTCTATTCTTCAATTATAGAGAGGTGAATAGTAGTTCTCCAAATTTGGAGAACTACTATTCACCTCTCTATAATTGAAGAATAGAGAGTGAAATAGCGAGTGGTTGGAGAACCCATTCTCTATTTTACTCTCCAAATATAGAGAATGGAGAGTAAAATAGAGATGGGTTGGAGATGGTCTAATACGATCTCAACACCTAACTAACTATTTTTTTATAAATAAAAATGAAATAACCTCTAAAATTATGTGTGTCATTCTTATCCATGAACATATTAATCTTTTTTATATCATTTCAATTTTATCAAACGTTCCCAAAAGAACACTATTATCTAACTAATTATTATAAGAATACCAGAATTAAAATTTTACGTAATCAATTAATAATACATGTTTCAATTGGTGAGAAGAAAAACTAAACAATTTCCTTTCTAAAATTTTATCTTAATTTTTTTATTTTTATAAAAAATAAATCTATTTAAATTATATTGTTGTGTTCTTAGTTTTCCTTTTGCATAATATTTTCATCTATCAAAGTCTGAATAATGTTACCTGATATCTATGCCAGAAAGTTCAATACTTATATTAATGAATAAAATTATCTGATATCTCTAGAAATAATCAAAACGCACACAAAATTATTTCGGACACCAAAATTATATATATATATATATATACTTTTTTTCTTTTTTTTTACAATAGTTTTTTTTTTTAATGGTGGTATGGAAAAGCAAATTAAAGGTAGTAAAAGCTAAACGTGACCTCCATTTCACTATTTTATAGATATATTCCCCTCTTTCTTTGTCTTCTCTAATTTCTAGGTTCCTGAAAGGGACCTTACCGGTTCAACAATTAGTTTTCTTCTTCACCCAATTTCCGGAGCCTTTTTCTAAATCCATATCAGGTAAAAAAAAATTCCTAATAATGCGAAATGCGACTTGAAATTCTATGTATTTTGTTCGAAATTAGAGTTTTTTTTTCTGTTGGAATTGCAAATTTTGGTGTTTTCAGGGTGTTTTTGTAGTACTGAATGTTAATAGGCGAGATTTTAGATTGTTTGTGTTTAAAGTTTGAATTTTTATTGGGATTTATGTTTGTCTGGGGAAACTAAAGATTCCCAATTTTTTTGTTTGTGTGTGTATTTGTAGAATTAAAATATGTATATGGTGATATTGTTGGATTAAGAAATTGCCCATGTTTGTTGAAAGTATCAATATGGGTGATCTTGTTGGGAATAAGAGCTAAGAAATTTGCATTTCTTTGATTATATTTTAGTTGAAATAAGAAAATAGTTTTTCTTTTTTCTAGTTTGGGATTTGTTTCTCCAAATTTTTAGCTTTTAGAGGAGGCTAGTTTGTGTTGTGAGATCTGAAATTGGACTTCTTATTGGGGATTTGTTAGGTTTGAAAGGTTTTTGGGAATGGATGAGGTCAAGAAATCAGAGGGTCATATGACATCACCTGCAGCTTTTGTGGAAGGAGGAATTCAGGATGCATGTGATGATGCTTGCAGCATTTGTCTCGAGGCTTTCTGCGAAAGCGATCCTCCTTCGGTGAATGCTAAAGACTGCCTGTAGTTAAATGTTTGATATTAGTAATGTTATGTTACTCTGTTATCATAGTGACTTTGATAGTGTGTAATATATCTGTTTTTTTCTTCTGTAGGTAACTAGCTGCAAGCATGAGTTTCATCTCCAGTGCGTCCTGGAATGGTATGTATCTGTAAAAATTCTGTCTTTACTATCTTCGTTGATTTCGAGGATATCAATTTGCTATTCCGATTTTTGTTAGGCAAGTAAAATATTAGTGCCTATTCATGAGAGTAACCTAATAGTCTTAAAAGTTGAGTATTTATGTAAAATTTAAAATAAATTTTACGATAATACAATATTTATGATGCAATTATATTTCATCAATGAGTTCATTTTTATTTGAATTGTTCGTTAATATGTATTATATATAATATGTATTGCAATATATGTTATTTAGAAATTTAGAATAAAATATAATTTTATATTAATGAAGAATTTGAAAAAAAAATTGTATTACGTAAAGATTATAGAGTGATTATTTGCAAAAAGAAGAAATGATTTATATTATGAAATAAGAAAATAAGAATGAAATATAAATAATAATATAATATTGAGGAGAGAGAAAAAGATTCCTTTTTAGAGAGTAAAATAGAGAATTGGGTTGGAGTTGATTGTCTGAAAAAATAGAGAACTCTATATTTGGAGAGTAAAATAGAGGATTGGGTTGGAGATGCCCTTAAGATAATCAGTCTTTAACTACTTTCAAAGAGAATAAGTTTTAGACAAAATTTAAATTCTCTATCATTTTGAAGGGCAATAGATTAACTTAAAAAGAAAAAAGGAAGACACAAATTACATATAAAATATTCATATGGAAAGAAATTTTTGTATGCTCGATCTCTTTATTATTTATTTTTTGTAGGTGGAGGAAGTCAAGGGAGAGATAAAGAAAATAATACGAGTTAGCCGTTTAAATAGGAGCGGAGTGAATGAAATGAAAATTCGAATTTGGTGTCTAGTGTAATAAGAAAGTGTCATCAAATTTTATAAAGTGGTAGTCAGATCTATGATCTATGGTGTTGTATGGTGGGAAAGTGTTTGTAGTCAAGAACTTGCATGTCCAAAAGATGAGAATAGCGGAAAGGAGCATGTTGAGATGGATGTGTGGCATATTAGGAGAGAAAAAGTTAGAAATGAAGTTGTTCGAAACAAGGTGGGAGTGACCTCTATAATTGACAAGATGAGGGAGGCGAGACTAAGGTGGTTCGGATATGTGAAGAGAAGATGCACAGATACCCCAGTGATAAAGTGTGAGAGATTGGCTATAGTGGGTATTAGAAGAGGTAAAGACAAAATCGAAGAAGTCTTGGGGAGGTGAATTATACAAACATGACATACTTGTAACTTATCGAGGACATAACTCTAGATAGAAAGATATGAAGGTCGGAGATTAAGGTAAAATATTAGTAAGTAGTTGTACATTGTCTAACTCCCCTACAAGTATTGCTATAAATACTCTCTTAGAATTTTTAGATTTTAATAATATTTGTTGTTTCATTTACTTCCGTGATCGTATTGTTTACTTTTGTTATAGTGTTCTTTTCTTCATTGTTTTCAGTATGGCTTCTTCTGCTACTATATTTGTTTTAATTAAAGAAAATTTTAAATGAAAAAAATACACATTCTATCTTCTCATAGTATCAATTTATGATACTAGGTCTTGCTAATCATATCTATGATTTCAATAATTTTCATTTCAGTATGTTTATCATTATATGAAATGAAATTTTAAAAAACTTATGTCTTTTATTCTGTACGTGTTAATTTTTCATTCATTGACATTGTATTTATATGTGTTGAATTGACAAGTAATAAAAGATAAAAATTAACACAAAGAATTAAAAATCATGTTAGTTAGCTTTTTCAAGAAAACCTAAACTCATTAAAAAGTAGGAAAAATTATGCAAAATAATAAGTATTTAAAGTTTAAACTATATTAAATGATATAATTATTGTTTAGGGAAATTCAAATGCGCATCTATAGTTTCGTCATATATTGTTTTTTTCCTAACTTGTATAATTCGCCTGATTAGTATGATTTGCCGATTTGTATAAATTCGTTAATTTGTAGAATTTGATTTTGGATTGTACAAATTCAGATTTTTTTATTTCCTGACCCTATCCATTTGTATACGATTAATGAATTCATAATGAATTACCCTGTTTATATATTGACAAATAAAATATACAAACAAAGTTCTGAAAAAATTCTGAAATGTATAAATACAATATTTTTATATACTTACCCTATTTGTATATTTGCAAGCGAAATATACAAACGGGTAGAAATATACAACCGCAACCTCCATAGCAAAAGGAACTATAGCTATGAAACACAATTATCGAAACAATATTTATAGAGTTTTATTAAGTCTATTATGTTTACTATTTCTGAAAATTTCTCTTAAAATTATACCTCTACAAGTCCTGGGCTTAAAAGTTGGCCCAAAAAAATTTGTCCTACACTGAATTACCCACACATATATTAGGCCTTCTAATGGGCTTTTCATCCAAAAGAAAAATATTTTGATGAAGGGAAAATATGTTTCTTCTTTTGTGTCAATCTGAATTTAGAGGTGGATTAAAAAAATTTAGTATATAAGTGTACCCCTAAAAGAAGAAGGAAAATTTGTATTAAGAGTGAATTGATACCTTAGTCCTTTAGATAAATATCGCAAACACTCAATCAATTAAATTATTTAGCTTTCTTGTAGTATGGATGCAATTAGATAATAATATACTAATTATAAAAAAAAATTGTTTTATGTAAACATCATGAATTCACATGTTTCATTTTTAGCATTTAAATTCGTCCTTGTGTCTTATAATTAATAAATTAAACTTCTTGACTCAACAAGGTAACTAATCATTCACAATAATGAACTTATCAGAAATTAAGTAGTGAATGACATTAATTTGACAAGATGAAACATTTCTTTTGAATATAAATTGATTTTTCAAATTAGTAAGATTGACATAATTATTACTTTTAATTATATGTTAAATATATCTAATATCTATTAGAATATTTTGCTTAAAACGACAAAATAAAAGTCAAAATGATTTTACAAATATTTTGACTTTTATAAATACTTATTTTCCTATATATTTTATTGAAGAAGGTTGACCAATTAATTAAAAATATGAAGGTAAAAAATTGAGGGTCAAATAATTTATACAAAGGATGTAGACGTGGAAATGCACTAAATTACTATACATAATTTTTCACTACGTAAAACAAATAAAAAGGAATCCAAGATATTCTACACCGCGTATGGCAACATAATTATTGTACATGACTTCATTTTTACCAAATAATGTGGCTTTTTAACATTATAAATACACCTATGATATCAATATTCTACATCACATTTTCTTACTTCCTCAAAGTAAAGTTTAGTTGTGGAAAACAAAATGGAGCCTACCAACATTGAAAGGTTGCTAAAAACTCCAATTGAAGAAATGAATTCTCATGAGCTTCAACAATTCGAAGAGCTCCTGGATGCAGCAGTTGAGAAACTTGTTCAAGCTTTGGTGTTTTTCCATCTGAAATCCTTGGAAGTGATTTGACTCCTTCAAAGGATAAGTAAAATTATTCATCAAGTTTCGATGTTTGACCAACTAGGTCTTGCTAATCATATCTATGATTTCAATATTTTTCATTTCTGTGTGTTTATCATTATTTGAAATGAAATAAAAAAAATTATGTCTTTTAATTGGTATGTGATGATTTTTCATTCATTGACATTGTAATTATATGTGTTGAATTCACAAGTAATAAAAAATAAAAACAAAATAACACAAAGAATTAAAAATCATGTTAGTTAGCTTTTTCAAGAAAACCTAAACTCATTTATAAGTAAGAAAAATTGTGCAGAATAGCAAATATTTAAACCATATTAAATGATATAACTATTGTTTAGGGAAATTTTAATTCGCATCTATAGTTTCGCCATATCTTGTTTTTAGCCTGATTTGTATGATTCGCCGATTTGTATCAATTCAAATTTTGTAGAATTCGACTATGGATTGTACAAATTCAGAATTTTGTATGTGCTTACTCTATCTATTTGTATACGATTTAATGAATTACCCTGTTTTGTATATTGACAAGTGAAAAATATATATACAAAGTTCTGAAAAATTTCGAAATATATTAATACATAATTTTTATATACTTACCCTATTTGTATATTCATAAGCGAAATATACAAACTTGTAGAAATATACAGCCGCAACCTCCATAGCAAAAGGAACTATAGCTATGAAACGCAATTATCGAAACTATATTTATAGAGTTTTATTAAGTCTATTATGTTTACTATTTCTGAAAATTTCTCTTAAAAGTATACCTCTACAAATCCTGGGCCTAAAAGTTGGCCCAGAAAAATTTGTTTCACACTGAATTACCCACATATATATATTGGGCCCTCTAATAAGCTTTTCATCGAAAAGAAAATATTTTGATGAATAAGTTTAAAATAGTTTGAATAGAGCAAACTATATAAATCTCACTAGTTTAGATCCTAATTACTAGAATTTCTGATAGTTTTTAATATTACTTTATATACCATTTTCGGCTACGAGATACATGTATCATGGCCCATAAGATATATGTATCCATCAGATTTAAAAGAGCGAGATGCATAATTTAATACTTTTCAATTAAATGTTGTAACTTATTGCCTTAATTAAAGGAGTAAATGATGGAAATTAACAAACAAAACAGATCTAAAGGATCCTTTTGTATCAACTATTAACATTTTTACTAAAAAATCTAAATCATAAACCTTAATAATTCTGAAATTGTAAATTTCATCTTCTTCATCAATTCCTTCTTTTGAATCTTCAATTTTTGAAGTTTCGAACATTAACAAAGTAACTTTTTTTTTCTTCAGAAATTCAAATTTGGTTCTTTGAATTTCAAGCTGTAAATTTCATACTTCTACCAATATTTAAATAACAATGTATCTCAAATAAACACAATATACATAAAAACTAATGTTCATTCACTGTATCTACATATACATAACTAACAATGTATCTACATTAAACACAATGTATATATGTAGGTTAGATACATACGAAAATAGCAGATGCATTGCAATAACATAACAAATGCGTATTATAATAAGATACTTGATAGAAGGTCAGATACACATGACAAGATTCAGACACATAACAAAACAAATTGTATTAAATACATGTGTAAATCTCCAATATATTTATTTGATACATACATACTTAATCAAATACATTAATAATAACTAGATACATATAATCGTATCTCGAATATGTGTCAAATACATCAATTGTGCCTTTTGACCACCTATTTGCCTCCACCGTTCTAGGTTGTTTTCATAGGAGTTGGGCTTTTAGAATTGGGCTTCCAACCATATGGGAATGTTTGGTGGGATTCTTATGTAAATGTATCGCCGCCCAAAAAAAAACAACTAAAATGGTTGCATTTATGTGAATTGTGATGTATATTGTTATTAAAATAATGTAAAATTATGTATCAGATGTATATACATTGTTATATAATATTTATATATTTCAACTGTTCATCTTCCTCAATGAGCTGATTTTCCCCTAAACTAATCAACTCAAATCTCCTCTAAATAATCCCAAAATTTAGATACGAGCTCCTTTCGATGTTTCGAGTCTTTAGATATATTATTTACTCGATGCGATTCACATTTGCAGTAGGTCAATTTTTTACATTTTGAGCTTCGAAGCTATTCAACGGCAAATTACAATGGACATTAGCTCAAATCTTCCTCTAAACAACTCAAGTTTTAGATATGAGGTCTTCTCGATATTTCAATTCACGTAAATTAAATTTGATGGTCCCACCTTAAACTCGTATATATCCAATGTATGATCTATTTGGTGTATACATCGAATGTCCCCTCATGTAGTTTAAACTTTCCCGGTATACATGGATTTTTTTTTCCAAAAAGTTAGCATTAGGGGGTTGAATTCAATATTGCCAAAAGTGACAAAGCAAAATTAGTTGAAAGAAATAAAAAATATGAAACCTACTTTTAAAAATTAAATGATTAGTATCAAAATGGGCCATATATAAATGATACTAGAAAATATATCTATTAAAAAATTTAAAACATGAGCTTCTAGTTCATCAGAATTACAATACCCCTCCCCACCTACCCCCAACAAAGTATTTAAAAAAAATAAAAAATAGATCAAATGGAACCAAAGGAAACTCAATCATTAATTTGAGTATCACCGAATGAAACTTAGTGCGAAGTGGTAAATATTTCTCTCCAAGTTTGAATCGCGTAAATAAAACCGTCTTTGATATATAACACTTTACCTCTCAATACAAATTCAAATTAATTAGACCTCAAAATGAATATTAGATATCATATTAAAAAAATAAAAAAGGATTATTAATCTAAATATTTGATGATTTTACTCTATACAAAGAAATGAAGGATGAATAATTGAATACTTAGTAACTTCCTCAAAAAAATAAAATCAAATAGTATAGAGAAGACGTAGTCAAATGGGAATAGTGTTAACCTAAAAAAAATGAACTTGTTGCCTTATTGGTCCATCAATAATTATAGAATATAGTTGCTGAAGAAAAATAATTTATGACAAAGATATTCAGCAAGAAAATCCACATTCCTTTGAAAAAATCTACCTAATAAGTGAATGGATCAATTTCAACTTTCAATGATATACATATATTTTAAAAAATTTAATTTATTTTTTCTCAAACCAAACAAAAAAAATCATGTATATAAATTTTTATTGCTAAACTTTGATTAAATGATATGTATTTTTCACTTTTATTTATTAATTTTAAGAAATATCTTATTCAGATAGGTAATATTAATTCTATGAGGTCGTTTGGTATGAGAAACAAGATAAACAAAGTAATCTTATGGACATGATATCACATATTCAATCATAATAATATAAATAATAAAAGAGATAATTCAAGGACTAACTGATACTCTTAACTAAATATAAAATAAAATAATTTTACATTTTATCTCGAAATTATTATATGATCCGGTGTACCAAACCACCTCCTATAAGTCAGAAAACTAGCCTCCACATATTTTCCCCTTGTCCATTGTAGTGTCATTTCCAAGTTCTTTTGTATGTACATCTATGTGACTAATGAGTTGAATGAACACTTGTTGATTAAAGCCATTTGAAAACAGGTAGGATTAATAATTAGTCTCATTAATGGGTGTGTCCAATGATGATATCTGAATTATGGGATTCATTTATTATATACTAGATGTAAAATTACTGATCGATTTAAAATTTATAAGTTTCTATAATAATAACTAATATATAATAATAACTGAATTTACAATCAAGTTTTTATAAATATTTGATATATTTTAATATGAATACTACATTTTAAAAATAAACTTATTGAGTTCACATAAACGTCAGGTAACACTCTAGATCCGTTTAATATACATTATAATTTTCTGTCAACAAAAATTCATTCAAACCCCATAATGCATGCTCCTTTAGCTCCTTCCTATCATGCAATGAGATAGTCAAAATTCCTGCATTATTAATTAAAAATACATATCAAGTTCGGAAAATTTCTCGATAGAAAGTATGTTTATCCTTTGATAGATTTTTACTTGACGTGAATTTAAATTAGTTCAGTATAGGTCGAGTCGGTGGTGTCCAATCTCAAGTGGGATTTTTATCCTTTTGGGGTGGGGGTGGGGGTGGGGTGGGGGAAAAAGCTCAGTAAAAGTAAATAGATTCTGAAAGTCACCTGGATGCAACATGTGCAAGTATTGATAGGGACTGATGAATACCAAGCAGTTTACACCAATGACAAACAGCAAGTTTGGACCCTCAAATACAATTATTGTACTTTCTTTTTTTAGTGGAAAAGAACAGTATCTTTACCATCATAGGTTTACTAGATTTAATTATATTTTGTCATTTATCATTTTTCTAATGAAAAGGTAGGTTTAAAGCACTAGATCTTTTTTGGAGTTTTCTTTAATTTGGGGGATATGGACCATTTAGTATAAGATATGTAGAAGCATAAAGAGGTTGATGATAAATAATATGGTGGTGAATAAAGAAAGTGATTGACGATATATAATATGGTGACTGATGGTGGTGAGTTACGATAGTAATAACTGATTATAGTAAGTGATTGATAATGATGATGGTTTGTAAGTTGTGACTTGTGACTGAAGATGACTATTGTTGTTGGCATGTATAATGGTGAATTACAATTACAGTAGTTATAATAGTGAACGGAGGCGATAACAATGAGTAAATGAAATATTATGTTAGTAGCAAAGCAAAGTGTTGCTTTTGTACTCAAGAGTCATTATTACACATTTACTACCACACCAAACATAGTGGTTGTTTTAGTTTGTAAGTTGTGACTGAAGATGACGATTGTTGTTGGCATGTATAATGGTGGATTACAATTATAATAGTTATAATAGTGAACGAAGGCGATAACTATGAGTAAATGAAATATTATGTTAGTAGCAAAGCAAAGTGTTAGCTTTTGTACTCAAGAGTCATGATTACACATAGTGGTTGTTTTATTAAAAGAAAAAAAATCTATAAAAGGAGTGAGATGAAATGATTTAACTCTCTTCAGTCTTAATTAGGTCCTGTTGACCATATATATTATTTATTTACTTCTGAAATATTTTTTTGTTTTATTTAAAAAAATTAGTGTTTTTTGTCTTTAGATTTTCAAATTTCATTAGAATTTGAATTTAATCTTGAAGGAAATAAAATATTTCAAAAAGGGGTAATTTTTTAACTAGAAGGTTTATCAGAAATAATTTCTTTATCTCGCACAAAGTAGGAGTAAGGTTTATGTACACCTCATTCTTCCCAAACTCTACTAGTGGAATCACACTCAATATGTTATTGTAATAAGGAGCTTTTTTTGTGTGTGTAAATCGAACCGGTAAATTTATAAAAACTACTAATATAATTTAACAAAACAAAATATGTTTTTCTCCTTTAATCCAAAGTGTAATCCTCTTTCTTCAAATTGTTTTAAATTTCAATAGTAATACTAATAAGATTTAAATTTTATGAATTCAGGGGCATTGATGACTTGACGAGTTGATGTCATTCTCATCTTCTTCAGTTTATTGATCACCAATCGCCTATTTAAGATTATGTACTAAGTAAAACTTAACTCAATACCTTACTTACAATGCGAACGGATCATAATCATGAACCATTCGTGCTTGTACTTATCACAAAAAATATGATCAAACACAACTCTAATGTGAAAATTTCACATAAAGTAATTTTTTGTTTTTGTTTATTTACATAGCCAAACACCCCATGAAACAAAATATCAAAAATCAAAACAAAATTGGAATTGAACAATACACTTGATTTTGATTCTTGAAATGAAAATATGACAAAGAAATTGAAGAATATAATACAAAGATTCCTTGGTGGATACAAGAGTTAAATAGTTTTTAATTACAAAGAGAGTGAAAAAGAGCAAAAAAAGAAAATAGAACAATTTCTCCCTCTTCTTCATTCAACCACCTATACACATTAATTCATCCCAAGCCTGAAAATTACAACATACACAATTGATTATAATCATATCTTTCGCCTCGATTAATTTTACGAGATATTTATTACTTTCTATCAAAACAAATAGCACATAATAACTTTATCCGTGAAAGCTTGAATCAATAAAAAAACATTACCTAAAATTTCATGACAAGTATGATGAAATACCAAATATTATTATTGAGTTTATGAAATTAAATCATTTTACGAGCTTAGTGAAATGAAAAACTACGAAGAAGAATTCACATAAATTTACGAAAAACTTCTTTATATGTCGCAAAGAATGTTACGTTTTCACTTTGTTTTCCGAGATTCATCATAGATTTGGTTTGAGAACCGTGTGATGAATATGTGAATGGAAGCCTTCTTTGCGCGATAAAGTTACTATTAACGCTATTTATTATTATGATAAATCAATGTATCAAAATGTGAATGTGAAATCTTATTTCGATTTTTGATAGGTAGAGTTAACGCATTTTATAAATTAGTCGAGATGTGTGTAAATTAATCGGAAAAATTACCGTTACATTTCACTTCGTTGAGATGGGCTTCTCCAGAACCCAGTACCATAAAACTTTTCCCACATTTCCTTCTCCAGCTCCAAAGCATCCTTATCGGTAGCTAGGTTTCCGGCGCCGCCGACCACCGCAATCGGACTAGAAATCTGGTAAGCATGAAGCTCCATTTCATCACAGCTACAATGTCCACTTCCCGACGCCGGCAAAAGCCCCTTTTTCATCAACCGATTCCGGCGATTTTTCCTCAAAGCCTTTCTACAAAGTCCGGCAGGAACCTTATACACCGCTAGAACCAACAAATTCGCAATCCCGCAAGGACAACAACACGCCACCGCCGCACATTCCGCCGTCGTACCGCCGGCAACCTCCGCTAATCGCGCTCTCCGAACAACGCTCCCACCGCTGCTGCTGCCGCGGACGCCGCCGCACGACGACGGAGATGAATCCTGACTCGATAATAGCGGCTGCCGTTTATCCAGAGATAGTAATGGAGGCGAAGGTATGATTATTGGTCTCGTCATGCCTAATTTCAATTGTTTTTAATTTTAATTTTTTTCGAAAAAATTCGATTTCATAAGGATGATATATTTTCGGAGTGGGGGAAGAAGATTTATTAGATCTTCAAAATGGGAAAAATTACCCCTCTCCGAAAATGGCTGGAGAATTTTATTTTTTATGTGAATTATAAAAAAAATTTTGATGAATTTGTTGGTTTGATGTACTATTTTTGGTTTATAAAAAAAATTTATTTGATCCAAGAAAATATATTAATGGTGGTTTTGAAGGGGTGAAAATATAGTGGAAAAGAGAAAAATAAGGTTTGTCGTATAACGGTGCGGGGAAATAGGGAACAAAAGGAATAGAAAAAGGGGTGTTCGAGTCAACTTATACGGATCTCGAAGAGTTTTATGGAATATAGATTACCTTCATCAGTATAGATATTACGTGTGATTTGAAGTTGAAAAAATATAATTTGAATTTCTTAAGTTGTAGTTTTTAATAAATATAATAATTTCATAAAATGTTGGGATATCTTAAAACACGGCATTAATAAATTACATGACTCTATGTTTGCTTTATAAATGAATAGTTATGATTATATGTCATTACAAACTTTCAAAATTCATGTATAACTTTTGAAAAATCTCAATAATAATCGTAACTAGCTAATTTTTGATATAATGAGCACGAAGAGTTTTTTTACGTCGTGCATGAATATATTTTTTTTATAAAAATTATAATAATGGATCTTCTTTTAATAAAATAAAAATTTATGAATCAAGTTTGTTCTGTATTTTGCGGAATGGTAAATCAATAGTCATAGTTAATTCAACCTCGACTTACATATATACTTATGATAAAGAATTATGACTTCGACTTTTTGAGAAATGTTACAATTATATCATGTTAACGCTTTATACATGTAAAATTATCTAAAGTCTTAATAATATAGCAAGTTTAGGAAACCTCACTTGATAGTGATGATGTAAATACTCTTGTTAGCACTATGCATATAATGTCTTAATAATCTTATACAATAATAGTATTAACATCAAAAAAATTAATTTCAATATGATAACTCGATATCTCTCGTATATACATGTCTTTTATTTTTCGAGGCAAACGTTATTTTGTTTTTAATAGAAAATGGTGGTTGGGGACCCTTGAGGTTAGGGCCTAGGGGACAATGGTACGTGCTAGGGAGTTAATAGAGGAAGTACAAGACAAGTGTATAATTTGGAGATTACACAATACTTAATAACCAATATAGCTTATATAGGGGGACATAACATCGTGAACTAAAATTTTTTTTTTTTTTGATAACCGATCATCGTGAACTAAAATTTAAATTTTGGTTAACCAAAGTTTGAGGTTAGATATAAGGTGGTGCATAATTTGGTACAACATATATAGAATCAATGAATAATTAAAATTAAAATTTTTAATACTAACTATTTTGATATTTAATATGATATTTTGTTGGAGTCATATTCTCGTGTCTTTGATGAATCTAGATGAAATAATATGACTGATGAAATATTAGATTAAAACTTTTTGCCTTATTTTTTCAGAATTGATGATTTGTCCAACTCAAAAATCATGTATATTTCCTCTAACTCACACTTCCTAGAAAAATAACATTTTGTTTTGGTTTCCATCCTATGTTTGGAGCCAGCAATGGATCCCCGACTAAATTTGAGTCATGACGCTTTCAATAGGATTTTCTCCGTATCTAGGACTCAAATCCAAAATCTCTAGTTAAAAGGGTAGCAATTTCATCACTGCAACATAACCCATGTTGATATAAAAATAAAGTTCAAGTTATCAAATCGAATAAAACGAAAACGAAAGGAGAGAAAAATGAGCCATATCTTATTTAATTAGATATGGTATTAGTATGATAATTAGTTTAAGAAACCAAAGACCATAAAATATCGAATCAATATATCTAAAAATCATAGCATACTGCCCGTAGTTAAATTTGATTAATAGAATATCCTTAATTAACCATAATGTATTAATGTTAAAAAGATAATTATTGATGGAATTTTCAATATAATAATTAATAAGATAGTAGTGCTATGCTTGACCTTTAACTAGAGGACACATAATCCTTATCTGGTCATTTATAAAATAAAATAAAAAATAGTACATAAGTTGGTGAAAGTTCACAATAGTTAATTATTATTAATTTCATATCATTTTGCATGGGATACTTTATTCATAGACCTTCAAAATTTTGAATATATCTTGTACTTCTTTTTCTATTTTTTGCTTTGCTAGTATTGAAATTTAAATAAAGATTTAAGCCAAAAACAAAATTAAATTATGATGTCATTTTTTCTCTAAGAATTCCTCTTATTTTCTTGTGATTTTTGAACTTAACGAGAATAAAACGGTTCAATTTTCACATAATTCAAGGACATTTTTAATCTCAAATCAATGTAATGACCCATTCTTGTTATTTCTTTTTGTTATTTGGGTACCCAAAAAAGTTACTTTAAGAAATTCACACAGACGAACTGAAAAAACAAAAGAGAACTGATAATTAATTTAAGTAATAGAAAGTAATTATCCACAACTAGTTTTAGGTATATATTTTTATTTTTAAAAAAAAGGGGAAGTTATACAATTGGTTAGGGGCAATCTCCGAAATTCGAACCCGAAATCACTGATTAGGATAGAAAAATCTCAACCATTCCACTATCACCCCGTGTTGGTTGTTGTATCCATCTTTATAATAATGAACAATGATTATTTTTTGTTAAATGACTTGCTTCCCTCGTTTCCCTAAAATAACTTCTTCTTTTTAAAAAAAAATAAAAATAGGACCCCATGAGCAAAGGACTTTCTAATTCAAATAAATTAAAAATAAAATACGAACATATGAAATATATAAAATAATTACCTAGTAATATGGATTAGTTTTTAATTAGTGGATTCCATTCTTCAAACAAATGTGATTTAATATTCCTATAATTAGTTGCCACACCAACCACATGCAAATATAAGTAGCTGACTCTTTTTCTCTCTTCTACTTTTACCTAACAACCCTTGATTTTTTCTTCTTATTTTTAGATAATTTTACCCTCTTGGAAAAATATAATTCAGAATGGTATATAAATTTTTGAAAAAAAATAATCAAATTTCTTTAAATGAGATTTTTTTTTTGTTTTATTGAATTAAATAGCCTTAATTAAATTTTCTTATGTTTTAGATAATTTTACCCTCTTGAAAAATCATGTGTTTTAAACTATTTAACTTAATAAAAAGTGTATTTAATTTCTATAATACCATTTATCTCTTTACTAATTAGAGTAATAAAGATATATTTTTGAGTATCGCCTTTGTTTGGGAGCATTTCACCCTTCACCGTAGGACTTTCAGGTGCGAGATTTAGTTTGGCGAATATGGATACTAGACACCGGATAAAAAACTAAAAAAAGAAATTATTTTTTCAAAAGAGTAAAAGATGACTATGATTTTTTTTTTAAAGTATTAAATTTAAAAATATCTTTGGATGTACTATATTTTCGTTTAAAACACAAGATTTTTTTAGGATAAAACTAAAATTTAGGTGATAAAAATAGATTCAAAATCCATAAAATGTCTATTTATTGTTTGGTGTTACAAAACAAAAAAAGTCAAATGCCACAGAAATATGTGCTGATGGCATTCGATAGAAACTGCAAAACAATTTTAAAAAACTATATATAAATAAATAAATTTAAAAAAAATAAAAACAGTTGACAATTCATTTTCCCATTTCCAAATAAATTTTTCCCTTTAAATACATCAAGTTAACTGTTCCATTGTTCTCTATCTTCTTATTATAATAATTCCATGAACTTCTTACATATTATTATCAATAAAATGTTTTTATTTATAGTTTTCCAAGAAAATTTCCTTTAATTTTTTCCCTTCAAATATCCAAAAAATTTAAAATTGTATAATTTTTTTTGCAAGAGGAAAATGGAGAATTCATTGGGATGTGCATTTATGGCTGTTTTTGCAGTTTCTGGAAGTGTTGTTCTCCTTGCTATGAAAGTGCATCAACATCTTCTTTCTGATTTCATCAACAAATTGGAAACTCAAATTGGTAATTTTACTCTTTCCCTCTTTCGGAAATTGTTCTATTTTATCGTCTGTTATAATTTGGATCGATTTATAACTTTACTTTTAGTAAAAAGTCTCATTGGTCGATTTAAAACGTTACTTTTTGCAAAAAAAAAGTCTCATATTTGATCTTATTGTTGAAGTTTAAATGCGGAATTAGAGAAGCAGAAGGGTTTATCCAATTATTTGAATCTTTCTTTATTGAAAAATCGGATTGTGTATATAATGACAAAACTTATTTCCGTATGAATATATATATTATATATGTTAAAAAATTTTGGTGAAAATTTTGATAGATTTTTTTATTATATATTTAATAGTGTTCAAGCGTAAAATAAGAAGATTTTAGTACGTGTCAAGATTAAACCCAAAGTATAATGGAGGACAAAATTCTCAATTTTATTGGAAGTTGTTAAATTTTCTTTTTTCTTATATGGTTTTGTAATTCAAAAAATAAATTATTATTTTTTATTATCTATCCCTCTTTTATATGACCGCCCTTAACCGCTAGAACCGTAGTCCCTATTTTATCAGTTTTTATGAAATATATAATATATAATAATAATAATAATATATTCAGTGTAATTGTATAAGTGAGGTTTTAAGAAAAATAAAGTATACACAAAATTGTTTCTGGTAAACCTTAACTTAATAAAACATATAATACTACATTATGCAATTTTAGAAGTGGAGTATAAGAAGGGTATGTGTTTGTTGTCTTACCCTTATATATCTTGAGAAAGTAGAAAGACTATTTCTGATAAATTATCGACTCAAATAAATCATATTATAAATTTTATGAAATATGAGACTTTTTGCAACCTCTGACTAATATGGATGACTATTCATGTTAATTTCTTTAATAATTTATTTGATGTTTTTTTTTTAATTTGTATGACCAGATAAAAATCAAGCAAAGAAGAAGGTTATGTTTTCCAATAAAGTTGTGGAATTGGGGTCTCAAAACAAAGATAAACTTAATGATGAGAGTTTGGAATCTATGCCTTTGAATTGGCAAGTTCTTTACAAAGGAATTCTCAATAATAAAAACCTTAGAGGTTTAAATAACTATTAATAATTTTTTATAAAAAAATTATATATATTTGTTTATTGTAATGGTGATTTTTGTATTTACATTTTGCAAAAGGAAATGACACGTTGTGACTTTAGTAATTTTTTTGTTTTTATTTGTGTAACATATTTGGTTTA